CGGGTGATTGGTTAACTATGGACCACTCAATATCTTAGAAGATATTAGACTTTTTTAATTATTTTTTTTTTGTACTATTATAGTTATTAGGTGGGACAAATTTAATGTATTTTTCAAAATTTTAACACCATCCCTTATGCGTTAAAACCATATCAACTTTAGATTTTTAAATGGTAACCCCAATTTTTTTTGATGATCGTGTTTATTTTTTTTAAATTTAATTTTAGGCGTAAAAACTAGCTAAATCAGACAAGTACTTTTAAAGTTATAGCTTAGTACTACAATATTATAATATTAGCTTATATGAGATGCTTTTATAAGTTTTACAGCTAAAGAAAAAAATCGTTTATCGCCGGATCTCACGTTTCACAAAATAAGATTGATTAACGATACGGTTGTAGATTAAAGTTAATAGTTGACGGTCGTCGGTCACAATGAAAACGAACTAATAATAAATCTATAACAATATTATATGGGTAATGTCTTCTTATCTGTTTTTTCTGTAGTGTTCCTAGCGGTGCGGTGTACCTGTACGTATTGAATATTAGGCATTAGCTGCTGTTAACAAACAATATTATGAGCCCTAGTAAATAGTTTTTTTTTCAATTTCAACCATAGGTTACCGTGGTCTAATCACGGTCTTATATAGAGTATATACCGTGGTTCTACCAAAACGATTCGTTACTAGTGTAGATTAATATCAACACAGAACAAATTATTATAAAAATACGACTACTTGAAAACTAATAAAAAAGTTCATTATTCTAATTTTTCAATTATTATGGTTATTTAGCGTCTTGGTTTTTACTTTAAATATTTAGCGTCTTGGTCTTAATAAGTGTTACTTGTACTGGTGTCTTAACTAGTCAAATTATTAATTCTGTTAGTGAAAATATTTTTAAAAAAACTTTAATAAATAACATTCAATTTTTTGTTTTTTTAGTATAATGTTGTATTACATACAGTTAATAGATAATATGTACAGAATATATTCAGAAATAAACAAAAACTAAACTTAATATGTACAAAAACTATTTTAGCATTTGTCTGAACTGGTTATGATAGGTACTTAAGATGTCAAACAACATCTTTATAAGGCATCTAGTGTGTTTCTTAAAATGTTTAGATAACAAAGGATTCCATAAGAAATACGTTCATCCAATACTTGTGCACTAAAATAAATTTTCATTTTTATAATTTAAAGTTGTAACGCGTCAATTTTAACTATTTCTAGTTCAGTATTTTTAATTATTAAAAGCTGTATTTATTTATTAACTCTTTATTATATTACACTACTGTACTATACTAGTATATTATACTGTATATATTTCATAGTATTGACTATTCTTACTTATTTTAATGTGTTCATAATATGAACAGTAAAAGTATGTTTTTTATTTAATAAATGATTGTTTTTTTCGTTGTACGAGGTATAAACAAAAATTTAGAGTGACAATGAAAAAGTACAATTTTTTTTGTTTTTGTATGGCTTTTTTAACAGTCATAAGCTTAAAATTCAATAATAATATTACAAACAAACATTTAAATACTATATTATGCTATGTTTATTATGATAATAGTAAAATAAAAAAACAAGTAACAAGATAAATAATACGCTTATAAGATACGAATAAACATTTTTATTTGCTAAATCATATTGGAAAACTAAGACTAAATAAAATTAACATATCTATAATTAACTTGTAAATAATAGAGGTACAACATATTGCTGTATATAGTGATGTATTTATAGGAAGTTACCTTGGACGGTAAGGTTTGTTTGATAATTTCCCACTAGAAGAAATCCATCTCCATTTACATATTTAAGTTAAAAAATATTTATAAGTATATTCATTCAATTTACTTTTTTACACTTAATCCAACAGTTAACATTTTTTTTTTTTCTTTTTTGTGTTTTATAATTTTATTTACTTTATTACTTATAAAAACTTAATCGTAAACCACTAGAAAGTTGTCAATAAATTCTGTAATAGCTAATGCCAAAACTATGCCATCATGAAAATAATTTCAAGATTTGGATTAAGACAATAACATATTTTAGAAATATTAACATTCTCAGCAGCATTTTAGATTAAATTAATATTAAATAAAGAATTCATCATTAATAATTAATAAATAATGTATAATAATTATAGATATGTTAAGTATATGTGTGTTTAAAAACTTTATGTCACTTTTAAAATGATAAAGTACTTTTAAATTATTTTATTGAATTACATTTTTAGCTGAATAACTAAATATATATAGTTGTCTAATATTTGATTTGAACTTGTGAATCCATCTTATTCTTCTTACTGACTTAATGGAAAACCGTTATCTGCAATAGTGTGCCACAGTAACTAAAAAATAATAATAATAAAAATAAATTGTTAGAGATGAATTCATAGAAATTAACTAAATTATTGCAAACTGATGATCTTATATATTTTACCTTAAAATAAAACACCTATAAATTTACTGAAAATTGAATACCACAACATTCGACAATGTATTGATAGAATTAGATTAGACTGATTGACTACAATAATATAATACACCAAATTTGACGTTGGTAGTAGTGTAGTTGTAGACAATAACAAATATCAATTTAAGTTGAGATAGTCCATATTAATATTGAACATACTGAAACATATAATTAAAAAAATTAAATAAGTTCCTTAGATACTTAAATAATTATATGGTTAAGCAACAAATATCAGTATACACATATATTTTTTATAATTATACAAGTATGATAATTTTTAAGTTAAACGTTAATTTTTAAGTAACGCATTTTAATTAAACATATTAAGTATGATAAACATAAGTAATCCAAAAAAACTTATTATGTAAAAACATTTTATATGTTCATGAATAATAAAAAACGATTAATTATATTTTTCTAATAAAAAAATGTACTTATACAATACACCTATATTAATAAATACATTATCTTACCTATTATTGATTCAGTAAATGATGATTGAAGATTCAATTTTTTCATAAAAAATTTTATATTTTTTCTTTGAATTCAGATACCAATATGTTAAAACACAAAACTACACATTTATAAGTTTCTCAGAACAAAGACATAATAAAAGTTAAAAGATAAAAATAAAAGTTTTAATTAAAATATCATCAAGCATAATTCAAATTACTCTATTTATTTTAAATAACATATTATTATTATAAGTACCTTTAATTTTGATATTTGATGTGCATACATTTTATAAATAAGGTTATAGGTTTTATAGACTTGTCACTTGAGCAAAACTCCATCTTGGTATTCACATTGATTATGGATATTTAATATCAATGTTATTATTTAAAACACAATAAATGTTGACAAGTTCATAGATCTAGTAAGTTATGACTTATGATACTATATTATTATAATATACTATGAAATTAAGACGTACAAATCGCATGAATAAGCAAAATGTGTCAAATTAACCAAAACATATAATTGCTAAATGCTGGAAAAATATACACAAGGTATTGATAACAAATTAAACATACCTACTATTTTATAAAATAAATGTAAAAGTGTGTAGTGGTGGTATATTTGTCAGTCGATATAGCGGTTATCATTATTATTTACTATCGGTGAATTATTTACCTAAAGTAAATAGTGTTTGGTACGGTTATGATTTTTAAACGCTACTATAGCTATTGTCAAAGTTAATTGTCAATAAATAATAACAGAGAGCAGACAAGTGTCACCCTAATATGTTAGCGTCTCCAAGATAATTAATTTATTTTTTACACTCCCTTTAATTTTAAAACTGTGTAGCTCGTTAACTACTCAATCGATTTACCTAGTTTTTACGCCTAAAATTAAATTTTAAAAAAATAAACACGATCATCAAAAAAAAATTGGGGGTTACCATTTAAAAATCCAAAGTTGATATGGTTTTAACGCATGAGGGATGGTGTTAAAATTTTGAAAAATACATTAAATTTGTCCTACCCAATAACTATAATAGTACAAAAAAAAAAAAATTAAAAAAGTCTAATATCTTCTAAGATATTGAGTGGTCCATAGTTAACCAATCACCCGGTATATGATTTATTGCAACTAAAAATTGACTGTTGATTAATTTACACATAGCAACTTAAAAATTTCCAATTTTGGTCTGAGGAGGGGAGGGGGCCCCACACTAATTTTGGTCTGGGGTGTAAACATTGTATTACAATGTTTCGGTTTTCCGGAGAGGTATTTGAATATTTTTCCGATTTTTTTTACAGTGTGCAATAACCCCCTCCCTCCCCCCGTTCCCTAAACCATTTTTTAAATCACAATTTTTACAAATTATAATTTACTACAATTGCTACCTTTTTCATACAAGCGACTTAGCGACTGGCTTCTTCAGCTAATTCTCTATAAAATAATAAACATAAAATAGCAAATATTAAATAACAGTATCGCTGCGCAAGTAAAATATAATATTTGTTTGTTATTGAGAATTGATTGTTAAAAATTTGGTTATCTGTTTTTACTTCAGGTAATAATATAATAGCGGTGTCACCGTTGACGTTATCGCTGTCGCCGCGCTACGGCAGTCGGCCCAAAACCGGTTTTTGGAACGTATAAAGATGTGTAATAAATTGGCCGCTAGGCGCGCCAGCTCTCGACGTAATAATTATTATAAAAATTAAAAAAACATCCCTTCGCACTTCAAATAGTACTCGTACGCTTTTGGTGGTAGAAAATTGTTTATAGTACCATATGAAAGATCAGAACGTTTTCTACGTGCCTATAGAGAGTTTTTTTCGATAACTTTATTTACAATGGTTTTATAAACGTTTGAAAAAAGTAAAAATTATTATTGAAATAACTATAAGTAAACAATTTGTTTTTGGAAATATGGCTCTATACGCACATAGTAGACATTCCAGGCTTTTTTTAGGTATCCTTAGATTTATTCTACGATTAATAGTTTCTGAGTACTATTTGAAGTCCGAAGCGGTGTTTTAGTACTCGAAATATTTGACTGCGACGTCCTCTTAATACAAAAAATATATATGTATGATGCATCATAGATTGTTTGGAAACGGCCAAAGTTGTGGGTAAAATATGTACTTAATAAATATACCGAAATAACATTTAGTAAGTAAACATTATTAAACGTGTTTTAGCCAGTTAAAAATATGGTCTAAACAAATATAGATACAGTACTCTGTTTATTTTTTTTATAAGGCGATATGAATACGAATAAACAAAATTATTAAAATTTTGTCTAGTTAATTCTAATAATATCTTTAGTCGCAACGTTTCTGTACAAATTAAATCGTTTTCAAGACTAAAACATGACACACTGCGGTCCAATGAAAATTGTTTTGGTCTTGATGTTGTTCGTTTACATTTCAGTGTGGTCATTAGAAACCGGGTACGATTATACAGCAAAACATATTTCAAACTATGAACTCCATAAAGATTTAAAATGCGGATACATGTTTAACGGGTGTACACACATGCGGGTATTTAAGCTTTTACTTGAAGAACCCTACAATACAGAATTCAAATGGTTGACTGGCTACATTGGTAAGATCAACAACATAGTGAAATCGCAGATAGTTTCGCTTTTGGGATGGAATACGTATTGGCGCCATGTGGTTACTACACTTGTTCACGGGTTTGGTAAATGTCTTTTACCAGGAATCGAAAAATCCGACGGGAGACTATCCGAAAATTGTTGAAACACTTGTCTATGTTATCAATAAACTGGATGCCGACCTAGCCGGGTGTCGTCAAGGCAATTTATTCGACTGGTACGATAGCGTGTTAGAATCACGTCAGACGTTCGGATTTTATACTTATAAAAAAATAATATTCATACGGCACTTGGACGAAGCCAAAGCTCAGCTACAAAATAATCATGTAATCAGTAATAGTTTGTTGAAAGAAAGGCTCGAAATGAATACAAAAACCAAATCGCTTTTTTTGAATAACTTGGGCTTGTACGATAACCTCAAAGACGACTTGCAAAACGTATACAACTTGAGGATGAAATGGAACGACACTAGCTCGATACTGTATAAGGCTTGGGTAAATGCGCGTTATCTAGACTGGACCAGAACCAACCTTTATCCGATAAAATTATACTATAAAGCGTGCTATGACTTTTTAAAAATCATCATGTTCCGTCTGACGTTGAAACACATTACATATTTACTGTATTACACTGTTAATTCAGGCCCCTACTTTTATTACGCGCAAGAATGGTACAAAACAGTGGTACAATTTGGTACTATGTTAAAGTTGACCGAAGATTCACATGTCCACAGCTTGCTGAACGCTCTCAGAAATCTTATCAACGGCATAGAGACAATAGCCAGTGTGGTCAGCTTTTTAGTTGCAATACTGGTCACGCTTTGTCAGACTTTCGGATGCGACGCTAGCAATCAATTCGCTGTAGACAATCGAGAATTTACAACACAATACACAAGCCTGACCGAAGAAGAAATTAAATCTCTGAAAATAACCGTCAGTGCTGTATGGATCGAATACAATAGTTTGGAGAACGCGAAAACTTTCTTGTCTCATCTGGAATTGGCTTTCAGTACGGTCAATTTCAGCGTCATTCGGTTACTTACAGATTACATCGACGAACTCAATCCGATAAATGGTGTTGTGAGGTCGGAAGAATGTACCGAGGAGTTGGAAATTCTGCATCTCAATATATCAGATTTCGATTAATAATAGTCGAATATTTTTTTTTGTAATGCAACACAGATTTATATTATACTATAAAACTACTACTATTGCATTTATAATCAACGTGTACGCGACACCACAAAATTCACTCTATCTCAAAATAATCTCGAACTTTATATATTTTGCTATAAACTATCCCTATGGTACATATTAAGTTGATTATAATGATTATTTCAACTAAATAAATTGTGCGATTTTTTCCATTTGTACATTTTGTCAAAATCAATACACTATTTGCCAAATCATCAGGAGTTACGATTCTAAACATAATTATAACTGAAAGTAATGAAAATCATTTTCTGTAAATATTTCAATAAAAACATAAGTCGCAAAAACGTATAATATTATATGGATAAATATTCACACTGGCAATTTAATGTTTCTTATCGTTTTTATAGGCATGTCCATTCAATCCATTTCTAATTTCATGCAAAAAAAGAAATATGGAAAGATTATAATATAGTTAATGCCTTCGTTGACAGGTCTTTGAATATAAAAGCGCGTGTTAATTGGTCTTGTTACACGTTGTGGATGAAGATCGTGTTTGGGTGATAATTGTATTATATTTTTTTCTGTTATAGAGTAAAATAAACACTAGTTAGATGTAGATAAAATAATATTCAAATAACAATTATAAGCAGTTAGGACATTCCAGCAGCGGTTTTTGAAAGATTGGTTGACGGTTATAAAAATCCGCCGTTTCAGTGGCACCCGATTGTTACAATTAAGTACACAATATTCGTGGAGGCTCCTTCAACATTTAAAGAACAGTGTAAAAAAACAAAAATGAAAGTCCAAACAGGACAAGCACTACGTTTCTCCACTGGTGAGTACGCCTGCCCAATAGGGAACCAATCAAAACATATTAAACTCGTCGATACGGCACTAATTGAAACTTGTAGGTTGATAACAGGATGTCTCAAAGTTACGCGATTAAAATTTATCCATTAGCGGGGAAATACAGAGATATGTGGCCACATGCATTGAAAGAACAAAACAATCTATAAACCAAAGGCACCCCATGTATGGTTACTTAAAACCACGAAGGAGACTTAAATCGAGAAGAAGATTCATTGTCAATACAAATGTGATCCAGGATCCCCTTGACCAGCATCGACTACAAAAATGGAGTAAGCTCCATTTGTAAGCTGAAACACCAGACACACCTGATGAACGCCTACCGTCAGGCGAAAACCTACCATGGCCCATGTGGAAAACGATAAATAGGCCAAGAGCCGGAGTAGCCAAGACAAGAGTTAACATGGTAAAATGGGGATACCAAGAAGGACAGGGCATATGTAAATGCGGTGAGAGTCAATCAGATGAACGCCTACTACAATACGTCCTTGCTCCGCCGAGATGCACAATTGACGACTTGGCGCTTGTCGACAAAAATGCTATATCAGTATTGGCTCGGGAAAAATATTTAAAATTATTTATTATTTTTTAAACACTGTTTATATTTTACTTATTTTTTAATGTATTTTAACTATAATTATATAGTCCAGCACCGGACACGATACGAAGAAGAAGCAGTTATGGATTTTTACAGGCAAAGACAGGCAAGTGGTGTGAAATGCAAGCTAGCGTCATCAGCATACACCTGACAAAAAAAGGTAACAATATTACTTTTTAAACTTTTTTCTTTTTGTCCTTAACAAAAAGAAATTTGACTACATATTTTGAAAATATATCATTATCAAAAACCACTGTATATACAAGTCTAATATTTTAACATTATTCTTAAAACTACACCTACATTTAATTAAAAAATTGCACGTTTAGTTCTTAAGCCATATAAATCGAATTTTAATTTAAATTCTCTAATGTAAACTTAGTTAAATGAGTAATTTTAAAAGCAATAATAGACAAAAAAAAAAGGTCTAAAACCAAAAGGCGGTGTAATGTAAATATTAAAAAAAATTACCAGCTATGTCAACCAACGATTGAACGCTGCAAAATATACTTCTATTTTACTATTTTTGTCGAAATTTTAGTCAACTAAGTAATATAGCAAGACACAATAAGTCACATTAAAACAGCTCGTTTAGCAATTTGGTCGGATGAATATTGTATTAAGAATTTGTAAGTATACTTTTAATTTAAAATCGGCAAATTGTAAAATATTTTATTTTTTAATATTTAATGTATTCAAGATTCATAACACATCATTTTCATTCCATCGCACAGGCCTAACCAGTGATCCGATAAGCAACCTAAAAACATAATTGAATTTGTCATGAAGTTTACTTAGGATCGGTTGAAGTACTTTTTTCAATTTTTAATTTTAACCCTATCTAAATTTTATTTTAAAATGTTGAAATTTATAAAATGTTCAAACGTGTTTTATACATAGTAACAATAAGATATCAAAAAAGTAAGTCGACCGATCTCAAGTAAATTTCATGGCAAATTCAAAACTGTTTTTATATTACTTATCGGATCACTGGTTGAGCCTGTGCGATGGAACAAAAAATGTATGTTTTATTGACTAAAATGGCTTTAACACGTAGACAAAATGATTTAAATTAAAAATAATACCTTGAAGCTTATACAAATTAACCGGTAAATTTATTAACATGGTCGAAATTTATTTAAGCCAATTTTTTCTTAAATATTGCCTATACAAAACTCCTTAAAAATGGTCTGTATGGAGCCCCCTTATGATATAATATTTTCTTGTATATGGTCAAAATTTGTTTAGACCTATAATCTATATGGAATATTATTTAGAAACCGCACTTATAGTTGTATCGTCAAAACTAGACAAATCTGATAAGCATAGGAGTGAAAACAATTACGGTTTGGTGGTAGTTTTTGGACCACCTCACTGCGTCTAGGTGTATTGAAGGAGCAAACCGTGTCAAGGAGGTCGCAGGTTTTTCATAACTAGTTATTATAACTGAAAGTGATAAATTACTAGGAATATTAAATATCGATAAAATCATTTCTTTGTTCTCATTCCCATATAAGAGTGGTACTGCGCAGAAACCAAAAGTCATTACTCTCGTATGCGGCTACGGAGCCATGAATAACGCGTTTTAGCTTTTTCACAGTACAGCTCATAAATGGGATGGAGTATAGTCAGAAAAATAAAATATATCAAATAAAAATATCATCTTAAAACCAAAACGTTCTTCTTTCCACATCGGAAGCGCCTGAGACTATAAATTAATATGAATTGCATTTAAGTTTGTTATTATTTACAGATAAAAATGGAAATTTCTTTTGTTTTGATATCATTGATGGTTTTTGCAAATGTTTTGGCAGATAACAGGAGTAATTATTTTATTTTTATATTTACTTACACAAAGTAGATATTAAAATAATATCTACTTTATTATTGCGGAAGTTTAAAATTTAAAAAAATGTATTTTTATTTAACTTTGGTTTACAGCGGAATATGCGGAGGTGGTTGATATTACAAGTGAGCAACATATTTTTATTATACAGACTAACAATATATTCTTGAGTTTTTCAATTTTATTGTTCTTAAACATTTTTTAATCAATAATTTACTACAGACCAGTACATCAAGCATGCTTCTAATTATACACATAGTAATGTAGGAAGTAAGATATAATTGAAATTAATATACTAATATATTATAATAACTGTTTTCCTATGTTCGACTGGTTGTTAAATGATTTCCTAAACTAAATATTTTAGTTTGAAAATATTAATTGTTCAGACTTCTAATGCACAAGTTATAACATACATCCAGTGTACCGAACACTGTGTAAATATTTAAGTTATAAAAAATAAATGATTTATATTTATATTTAAAGTAGTGGGTTGCTGTGTTGTACAGTTCAAAATATTTGCGAGTAACATTCGGCAGAGTTTTATACTCTATTTTCACAGGCATGATATGCATTCTTTCTGCGTAAAATCAAAAAAATAATTTTCATTCTTATAAATTGTATATTTAAATTGTTGAATATAGTTTTAAAAATATAAATATTTTAGTTAATGATAATAAAATATACAGGGTGATTTATTAAGGATCTAAAAATGATTACAGCCTCTTAAAATAATAAGAGTTATTTTAACTTTTTTTTTTTAAGACATTTTAGTTTATATTTTTTTTTTTACAATAACAGACAATATAAGTTTTAATTTTTTTCCAAAGCTCTATCAACTTTTAAAACTTTAATGGTACTATATATTTTAATTAGTGCTATTTAAATTTTAAATTAAGATTAACTTGCAGACATATTTGACCAGTCGATTACCAGTTAGGGATAATTACTTTTAAATTTATTAAAGTTCAAAATTTAGAACGGGAAGAACGGTAGAGTGTAATATTTAAGTGTTAAATTAAGAATAATTGGCTAAAAATGTTACAAGGTCATAAACTAGCTTTGGAAATATTTAAAAGTAAAAAATTTAGTACAAAAAGTGGAGTGCGATAGAGTAGTGCATGCAAAACAACATAATACTACACTCTATCTTTCCTCCCACCCTAAATTTTAAACTTAACAATAAAAACTTTAATAGGAATTATCCAAAACTAATAACTATCGAATAGTCAACATTTTTGGCCAATTTATCTTAATTTAAAATGCAAATTAAATATAAGTATATGTTACTATTTAAGTTCCCGCTATGCCTCGACCCCACTATACTGGCTATTGGTGTAATTTTACTCTAATAATTTGTGCACCTGTAATGACTTTATTTGACATTTTTACCATAGCTTAATATTTTATGTTCTAGATGTATTGGAGTATGTAATTAACCTAATTACAAATGTATATTCAACGGGTACTAAAACTGATATTATAATAAATAGGTCTTGCTAGTAAAATAAATTCATTTTTAAATATCTAATCAATTGCATCATAAAAAAAGTTTTTCAGATTGTTAAATAAAACATCATTAATTTTTTTAATTTCAGAGACTATGAATTATATGTTCACTGTACCGGGTAAAATATTTCATTACACTTTTTGGAAATATTTCTAAACAGTTAAAAAATTATTGAAACTTGAGTGGGGTATTATATTTACACTATTTACATGACTTCAGGTTACTTAGATGTCTTGACTAGTTCGCCAATGTTTCCGAACACTTGATGGATCCATCTGCAGGGCTGTGGTTCGATGTTGTTCGTACCGCGCTCTCCTGCAGACTGACCGATTCGCTTCCGTGGGCGTAGGTTATTTACCATTCCCCCCACTGCATTCTCCGCTCCCTCATGCCGTTGCCAGCTGTTTTCTACGGCCACGCCCCTTCGCCTTGGCCGGCTACCGCATGACTGATTACCGTTATCAATTATTTCTTGCTGCCAGCTGTTTTCTACGGCCACGCCCCTTCGGGGGGTATGGTAAATAACCTACGCCCACGGAAGCGAATCGGTCAGTCTGCAGGAGAGCGTGGTACGAGTAACATCGAACCATAGCTCTGAAGATGGAACGTGCAAGTATTCCGAAATGTTGGCGAACTAGTCAAGACATCCAAGTAGGAGTGACCTCACGTCATGTAAATAGTGTTCTTCGCAGTTGTTTGATAATCGTTAAGTAAACAATGTTTTCGTTTTATTTTCAGATGCAGCAAGAATTGACAGCCTAAAATTCCTAGAAGGTAGTCAATAATCACCTTCATATACTTTATATTTATGACGCTACACACAAAATCAGTACCCTATTAATTATTAATATTATAACAAAATATGTGTATTTAAGTTTATTTTTTTTTTTAAATTTTAGAATCCAAAATTATGCAGGAATATGTACAAAAACAAATACGTCAGATAATAGGTAATTTAATTTGTATTTTTATAAAAACCGGTAATTATTGTTGAGATTAATTGTAGTGGAACACAAAAGAAATAACAAACAAACACTTTGAGTAATAATAGAGTTAATATTATAGACACAAGTTAAACCAATAATAACAATACAATATAGATATATGTATAAGTCAGTAGTAACAAGCACATTAACAAAATAGTAGCTGTGGAACGAGTGTGTCCCCTTGTCCACATACAAAGGTATTTATATCATAAATCTAGGTTAAATCAATTCATACAAAATACTTTCTAAGATTTCACATACAATAGTGTCTTCCTCGACATACTAAACTAATTACATTAAAACTACCTTAGAATATTAATTACATTTCAACAATTATGAGTTGTAAATTTATTTGATATTTTATATTTTCGTTACAGGTCGTCCTGAGCCTAATAATCTAAACCAGAGTAATTAAGAATTTATTCGTTAATAATAAATAAAACTTAGAGATTTTTTAAAGATAAATTTTTTTTTATATATTTTATTGTTTACACTATAGTTACAATAAAGTAAACTAATAGTTGGGGAGGTAGAGTGAGACTTAATAACTGTAGAGCAATAATTTACAGCCAAAAAAAATTTTACATCTAGAAAAAATTATACAAATTAAAAATAATACTTTAAAGCTTATATAAATCAACCAAAAAATTAATTAACATGGTTGAACTTTATTAAAACTACTTTTTTTCTTAAATATTGTTTATACCATACTCCTTAAAAACAAACCGCATGTAATCCCCTTATGGTTATATGACCAAAAATAATAAAAGTTTTTTTCATCGAAATAAAATTTTTTTAGCAAAAAATAAATCATAAATACGAGAATATTATTAAATATTTATTTTTAACAAGGTTGTGGTTTTGTAGATTTAAATTTGGCCGATCTTGGAAAAGCGAGAAGAGTTCTTACAGGAAAAGCTTTAAGAAATATAATTGCCCGTAAATTAGGTTAATATTAATACAGAGTCTTAATGGTATTGCTTTTTTAACCATTATAACAATTTAAGCTTTGGTGCAAAGTGATTTTATTCAATTTTATCACTTTTTTTTTTAATAATTCCTGTAGACCTGTCTCCTCTATGCTTTGATTCCATTATGCCTACACTCTTTTAGCTTCGATGCAAAGCGAGAAGGTATTGGTTTTACTCTGATGTGTGTTTTTTTTTTATCTGTATACACTGTAACTTTTTTAATACAGGACCAATTCCTTCGAGTAGCAACTCTATAAATCGCAAATTTCATCTAGTTGGTACTTTGGGGGGGGGGGGGGGGTTAAAGTTGAAAAAATTTAATTCTTCACAGACGAAAGTTGAAAAAACCGTACGAGTTTTTAAGTTAGAACTTTTACTGGCTATAATTTCGAGAAAAAGAGTCGGATCGAGTTAAAATGTAAAAGAAATAATTATTTAGTATGCCCGCACACGTCAGTTGTGTCAAACTTAAACTATACCCATTTCCCACCCCCCTAGGGGGGGGACAAGTTTTTTTTTATTTTTTGGGGTTTTTACCCGTAATTTTAAGACCTTTGGGTTGAAAATTTGCCAGTAGTTAAACTCATATGTATCCATAACATATTAAACAGAAAAAAAGTTCGGCACTACAGTTTTCTTTTAATTTCCGGAAAACTGTTTTCGCAGATTTCGTATATTTTAACAAAAACACCTAAAATCTTTAAAAAAAATTGATCAAATCATTAAAACAATTTTATGTATATCTATGCAGAATTATACTTTTAAGATTTGTGCTCAAGTACCACTTTTGACTTAAAGTTTACACAAATTCAATTTTTTTTTTTTTTAACTAAAAACCCGGTGTACCAGTTGTGAGAAACGAACAGACACTAAAAACTATCAGTTGGTAACGTCTTTCCGTGTTAGATTAGGTTAGGGCCCAATGATCGGTATCATAATATTGTGTTTATTACATGATATCACAGGCGACTAAATCGTGTAACTGATTATAGTAGACACTCGATTTATTGGGAAAAAAACGATACGACAAAACCACTGTCGTTATCTCGTTATCTCCCTAACCGAAGGTCAACTATGAGTATATAAGGTCCAACTACCTGCAAATAATGAAGAGGACTGTTGTTTTTTGGATTCAGATTAAGTGTTGTTTTTTATGCAGTATACCGCCCCAAAATGCATTTCATATTACTGATTACACAATTTTTAAAAAGGAACACTAGTGTTTTACATATTGTTATACTGTTTTCCATTTAAAGATATTCACGCTTGATTGTTTAAATTATCTAATATCAGATAATCTGCTTCGTGCTATTTTTAATTTTTTAGTTTATCAACTTGTAGCTCTAATTTTAAATAAAATATTTCATTATTTTATTACTATGTACTATTACTATTAAGATAAATTTTAATAATAATTAAGTCATAAATGATAATACTTTATTTTATGAGTAGATCAAATCTCGTGAACATTTAACATCATATGTGTCAATTGGTCCACTAAGTTTTTGAAAAAAAAAAAAAAACAGTACAGTGGGGTCGGTGCATATTCGGGATGGAATATGGTTGGGTTGGGGCATATTGGGGACGGGGAGGTCACAGGTTTACAGGAATTTTTAAGTCTGAAAGTGATAAAATCACTTTCGAAAAAACGCTTCGATGCAAATCGGTAGTTAGTATTTTCAAGCCAGTACAGTCCAAACCAAGCACAGTATAAACCAGCAAAGTTAGAAAGTTTTAAATGAAGGTTATTTACAAATGAGCATCAAAGCGTTTATTTGAAAGCGATTTTATTCAATTTTATCACTTTAATTTATAATAATTCTTGTAGACCTGTGACCTCTCCGTTTCCTCATTGCTTTGATTACATTATGCCAATACTCTACTGTACTAGTCCTCTCGGATAAAATCACTTTCAAATTAATGCTTTGATGTTCATTTGTAAATACAGAACCTTCATTTAAAACTTTTTAACTTTGCTGGTTTATACTGTGCTTGGTTTGGACTGTACTGGCTTGAAAATACTAACTACCGATTTGCATCGAAGCGTTTTAGATTTAAAAATTCCTGTAAACCTGTGACCTCCCCGTCCCCAATATGCCCCAACCCAACTTTGTTCCATCCCCACTTTGCACCGACCCCACTGTACTGGTTTTTTTTTACTAGTCCTCTCGGATAAAATCACATTCAAATTAACGCTTTGATGTTTATATTTTGTAAATACAGCACCTTAATTTCATGCTTTTTAACTTTGCTTGGTTACACTGTGCTTGGTTTGGACTGTACTGGCTTGAAAATACTATATACTGATTTGCATAGAAGCGTTTGTTGGAAAGTGATTCTATCGCTTTTAGATTAATAAATTCCTGTAAACCTGTGACCGACCCGTCTCCACTATACCCCAACCCCACTGTACTGGTTTTTTTTAACAATAGTTATAATAATAGGACAGCTTATACAGAAATACACAGATTTTTTCTTATCGCAGTATCGCACAAATTTAGTTTTTCATAAAATTATAAAATTCACACAACACATACATATTTGTCAAAACTAACGCAGGCCTATCATTCAAAATATTTATTGACTGGGTATAGATTCATTTTTCTTATACACGTGTAGTAGTTATGTCATGCACAATAAAGATAAGTAGTGGCTAATATGCTTATAATTTGACAATTTTGTAAAAAGCTATTTTGTAATTTTTTAGATAAATCGTCACAAAATTGGATGTGTAAATTGTTAGGGTTGTGGATGAGTACAAGAACTTCATTGTTAACATTTGCTGAAAATGAAGGTAATATTGATTGTAAATTATCCGATAGAGACAATCATGTTATAAAATACAGATATTTCGAGGGCAATTATTTTCAAATCGATGAAATGGAAGGAATAATAGGTAAACTAAAAACACAACTACTTGAGGAAGAGTATGCGGCTATGAACGATTAAACCAGGAATCAACTGTTTATTTCTTTTAAAACCATGCAAACCATTAACTGTGAATTTTTTTCATAATAAACTGTTTTGTCTACAACTATAAGCAAATTGGTTGCAAATTTTGTATTATCATTATTATTGCGTAACACTTTATTTTAACTGAGGGTGGATTTAAAGCGTTAAATTTGTAATTTATCTTAAACTATAGTCTTACAAGATGCAATAGTTACAAAAACTGTTTTAGATATTATGAGTTGTAATATTTTGTCATTGGGCTTAACAAAATTAATAATAGTTAAAAAGTTCTGTTTTTACCAAAAATAATAATTATTTTATGAGGATTATTATTTTTCAACAATGAAAGATGAGTGGAAGATGAAGATGCTAGCCGTTCTTACTAGGATTTACTTATTTAACACTATCGACTGCCGCTTTGTTTCAGATTACAGTTTTTCATAATTCATAAACATTAGTAGGTTAGTATTCCCCTACCCCACTGTACTGAATTTTTGATAATGCTTAAGGGGAATTGAAAGCGCCGTTTAAGGGACAAAAGATAGGCAATATTGTACAAAAATTGATTTAGTATCCATTTTAAGTAAGTCGACTAATTTTAATGTAAAAAGATATTAAGTTTTTCTACTTTTAAAACTTTTAAGGTTATTTTTCTCCAAGTAAGTTTAATAAAAATTGGTTTTTGTAAAAGGCATTTTCCGGTGTACCTATTGGACGGATTTCAATTTTTACCTATTTTTTTTATGAGATGCTTACTATTTTTGCTATCTAGGCCTAAAGACCGATATTTTATTCAGCAATTAGAAAATTAGTTTGATTTATTAGAAAAAAAAAATAGAAAAAAATTAAAAATGGATTGATATGAAATACATATAAATAATAATAAAACACATAAAAATACTTAATAACAGTCTATGTACCCAGATTTTTCGTACAATGCGATAGTATTTAAAAGACCATAAAATTAATGCACTCTTTGCGTATACTTATTTCGGCCAACAATGATGTAATTTTCAGCGCTGTTTTCAATGATCTACGATGAGATTGATACATTGATACAATGAGACAAGTATTTACGAATGTATATCTGTTTTCATAGTACAGTCACAACTAGAATGAGTTGTTTTCGATGGAAAATACACAGGTGTAGAAGCCTCTTTATGATATCGAGATGGATTTTATTCGGTTACTTTAAATAAGGTCTATGTATTGACGGGGATCCATTTAGTGAACCGCACGTCAAATAAAAAAAAATAAAAAAGACAAAGGGCAATAATAAGTGTATATAAGGTCAAAATAATGGATAGCTCGTCACAACTTTATTCCGTGGTATCTGGCTGATTTTAGTTTTGACATTTATGTTAGTCCCACAATGATACAAGTAGGTGAGACGTGTACTGTGTAGGGAACTGAGTGTCTTACCTAAAATGAAACACCCTGTAGAGAAAATAAAAATATGATGTTATTGCATTTAATACAAGTAAATACGCAGTATTTTTCAAGTTTACACTGATTTCGCTACTGTACCGTTGGGTCGAAAAGAACTCTAAGTCCATACTACATGCTATGTAAATAAATGAAAACGAAAAACAACTATCTACCAATATTCTCCATTTCTATACTGATGTTTTTTTTTGTCAATGGCACCTTAACGAATACACCTTAAGCCGTATCAAATTACTCTGTTCATCCGACTTTGGTATCGAAGACTTACTTCTGGTGCAACAAAGTGTTTGAAAAAAAAAAAACATTATGCATTTCAAAAGTGCTGTTATTCTTTGTGCGTTATACTTCGTGACTATGACACAGGTAAAACCAAATAAAATAAAATGTCGGTAGTTAATGTTGTGTATTATTGTTATTGTAATTATGATACTTACTAGAGCGTCGGACTCAATGGGGAACAAATTGATATGCTTCGTCCTTTATTCACAAAGCACACAAAAGGTATAGAATTCATTTCCAAGAATGAAATCGTAAATATAGGACAAAGAATTGGCGTGGATAATTTTTCAGATTTTGATTACGATAGAGGTAATAAAATATCTTTTAAACAGGTTTTAAGTTTTTGACAGTACTTAAATGTTACCCCACCCACCCCATTTAAAAAAAATTGACTGTTTTCCATTAGTTTAGTTAACAATTTCTCAATTTAACCCACTCGTCTTGCCCAGGTTGATTGAAAATTATTTTTAATTTGTTTCAATTTTATTTTTAATTATAGATGTGACTATCGCTCGAAAATTAGAAGATTTCTTGGTATTTTTGGCCAATAATGACAAGATAACTGACACCTTTGTAATATCGAAAAAAATATTGAAATATTTCCAATTAATCTGATTTTTTTATTTCCAGACACGAAATTTATCATCCTTCGAAGTAAGACTTTACGTGGGCATGTTTAGAGAAAAAGACCAAAGGGGTGATGGTCTACTTACCTACACAGAAGTATTAGAAGTTATTAAGCCTTTACATCTAGACAAATGGACTAATAGAATTTGTCTTGTCCGTTCCGTCAATCAATGTACAATAGACGGATTTAAAAAAGGTATTATATGGTGCGGTTTATTATTTTGCACAATTTGATAATTTAAATTAATATTTAAAGATGAAAAAACTAACGCCTTGGAGTTCTTATACCGCATGTGGGCAATAAAACCAGAAGTAAGGATTTATGTTTACATTAAAGTCTTGAAAAAATACACATAAAACTATGCCTGACACGGCATTTAAACATGTCCAGAAAAAAATAGTTTTGTACATTTTAGCGCATTATTATAATTAAAAAAAATCAAACTCCATTTGTGCATTTAATTTTTACATGATTTATATACTTTTAATTAGGGTAAAGGTTTAGACAGAAGTCAAGTTCAGGAAGCGAGCGATTTACAAAAGCATCACAAAAATATATATCACGATCAAATTGTCCCTGAGGCAATAACACTGTTTTTGAAAAGGGCATCTATAGTTAAAGAGGACTACGAAGGCAAACTTGCTTTTGGTTCTAAACGTAAGAATATATTTTTTATATTATCTCGCTTGTTATTAATATTTTATTTATTATTAAAAAAAACAAACGATTTATTTTGGTTATAGGAAAGTCTTTCTTGGAGTTGCAAGAGCTGTTAGTAGTTTCTGCAGAACACAAAAACAATACCAAAGTAATATTAATAATTTTATTAAGATTTTGTTTTATATGATTATATGAGGACACACCCATGTTATCACACTACAAAATATGAGCAATTAGCAATTTCTCGTGCTCCCATATTAATCTAAAGTGGTACTAATTTGAATTGCTTTGTTGATTCCTCAGATTAAACCAGTATATTCTACCTGTTCGGTTAGATATGTTATATGGGATTTCTTCCAGCGAGACACTGACAAAGATGGTACACTCAATAAAGATGAAGTTTTAAGATTGGTGATATGTTACATGGACGCCTGGAACAAAGAAAACAGAAATATTGACACTTTTATGCTGGCACACGATTCCAATAGTAATATTGCAAATTATAGATTAAACGAAATCGGCTTTATTTTTTAAGATAATTATCATAGCGAGATCAAGCATAGAGTAGGATCGATACGGTTTTTTGTGCATAGATATTTTTACAGTTAGAATTAATAAAATAAATCTCGAGAAACCGCCATTATGATCTAAATAAAATAAACGATATTAAGTTGAAGAGTTTCCCTAGGTAAAAAAATATGTTCGGCTAATTCTAAAAAAAAACATTAGATCTTCACCTTAGTTCGTGTAATTATCCGATCTCAAGTTCAAAAGCTACTTTTAAAACAAGAAGAAAATGTCTATTGGTTAAAGGGGATGCGATTATTATTAGGACAGGTTCTTATGGTTTTTCTATGATTCCTAGAGTTAATATTTTAGGTATAAGGTAAATACATTTTTTCTGTATAGACATTTTCATAAATTCGACGCGAAGGGCAAAGAGCACTTTTACAATTATGCAAGTATCGGTAAAAGATTACTAATGTTTCCATAATAAATGCTATGATATTATAGTGGTTAATGTATTGAAGATACCCTAAAGACAAAATAATATTAACTAAAAATATTGTAATATTTAGGAGACGGACACTTGGACATCGCGGAGTTCTTCAAGGCGCTATTTCAGGAGAATATATCTCTATCAAAGTGTGAAATAAAATAAAGTATGATTAACCCTGATTTTTTTTTAATAATAATGATTTTTCAAAGCTGTATAATAATTTTACACATTTATTTTAATTTAATGCTAATAACAAATATACAGTGATGTTAATCCATATTGATAATTAATATAACATGCAATTATTAATTTTATTTTTGTAGCTTCATAAAAAAAAAATAAATAGTGTAATATCATACAAATTATGTTTTTACTTAAAATAAATATAATTACCAATCCTAAGCCTTGCAAGCCATCTAGTTCCTAAACAGCATGTAGAACAAGTTAATGTATTTTCGAAAACGGTATTAAAAAGCCTTGTAATATTTTAGAAGTATTAACATATAAAAGTGCTGTTATAAACTGTCAAAATTTTAAACGACACTCATCGTATAACACTAATTTGAAAATAAAAACCTAATCAGTACAGTGGGGTTGGAGCATAGTGGACAAGGAGCATAGTTGTGTTGAGGCAAAGTGGGGACGGGGAGGTCACAGGTTTACAGGAATTTTGAAATCTGAAAGTGATAAAATCACTTTCGAAAAAACGCTTTGATGCAAATCGGTAGTTAGTGTTTTAAAGCCAGTACAGTACAAACCAAGCACAGTATAAACCAGCAAAGTTAGAAAGTATTAAATTAAGGTGCTGTATTTACAAATAAGCATCAAAGTGTTAATTTGAAAGTGACTACCACTAGCTGTCGGTTGTTGCCTGTTATTTAACTGTTTTTTTTAATAATAGTATAGGAGCAGTATCGCAAAGTTTAATGTTCACGAGATTTGATCTAGTCATAAAATAAAGTATTATCATTCATGACTTTTAATTATTATTGAAATATATCTTAATTTGAACATAGTAACAAAATAATGAAATACTTTATACAAAATTAGAACTACAAGTTGATAAACTAAAGAATTAAAATTAGCACAAAGCAGATTATCTGATATTAGATAATTTAAACAATCAAGCGTGAATCTCTTTAAATGAAAAACAGTATAACAATATGTAAAACACTAGTGTTCCTTTTAAAAAATTGTGTAATCAGTAATATGAAATACATTTTGGGGCGGTAATCTGCATAAAACTCAACACTTAATCTGGATCCAATAAACAACAGTACTCTTCATAATTTGCAGGTAGGTGGACCTTATATATACTCATAGTTAACTTTCGGTACGGTAATAATAAACGCGATAACGACAGTGCTTTTTTCAGGTCAGAACGATTATGTGACTTAATAAGTTCACGGATCGGTTTTTTCCCAATAAATTTACTCTAATCAGTTACACGATTTAGTCGTCTGTGATATCGTGTAATAAACACAATATTATGATACCGACCGTTGGGTCCTAACCTAACCAAACACGGGTCGAGGTTACCAACCGACAGTTTTTAGTGTCTGTTCATCCATTTCTTCCATCTGGTACACCGGGTTTTTAGTTAAAAAAAAAAAAAAATTGAATTTGTGTAAACTTAAAGTCAAAAGTGGTACTTGAGCACAAAACTTAATAGTATAATTTTGCATACATAAAATTGTTTTAATGATTTGATCAATTTTTTTTTAAAGATTTTAGGTGTTTTTGTTAAAATATACGAAATCTGCGAAAACACAGTTTTCCGGAAATTAAAAGAAAACTGTAGTGCCGAACTTTTTTTCTGTTTAATATGTTATGGATACATATGAGTTTAACTACTGGCAAATTTTCAACCCAAAGGTCTTAAATTACGGCTAAAAACCCCAAAAACCCAAAAAAAACTTGTCCCCCCCTAGGGGGGTGGGAAATGGGTATAAGTTAAATTTGATACAACTGACGTGTGCGGACATACCAAATAAATATTCCTAATAAGATTCAACTCGATCTGACTCTTTTTCTCGAAACTATAGCCAGTTCTAACTAAAAAACTCGTACGGTTTTTTTTTGTTTTTTCGAATTTCGACTGTGAAGAAGTAAATTTTTTCAACTTTCACCCTGGACAAATTGGTCCAGTATTAAAAAAGTTATAGTGTATAGAGATAAAAAAGAAGCCCACATCAGAGTAAAACCAGTAACTTCGTCGCTCTGCATCGAAGCTAAAATATACGATTTATTACAGATTCACAACAATAAAGTCCATAAAATATATCCAAAAATTTTGTCTGTTTAGACGACATAAAAAGGGAAACAAACAATATATCCAAAATTTAACAATAAACTAAATACAACTTTTTATTGCTCCACCACACGTCGACACAGTAGAACAACACGGCCCAGAGGCAATTGGAGCGGTCAACCCTCGGCGATCGGAACAGCACAGTCGAAATAGCAGAGAAGCCAACCCGTGGAACCCTTGAGCGGTTGACACATGTTATTATACGAAAACACAGTTTAAGTGTTATTCATTGAAATTAGAAGAAAACATATTATTTTGACGTGAGGTTTTGTACGCTTGTTCAAACAGTTGCCTCATAGTCGTACAACATTTGCACTGAATAAGAAATGTATCCAAAACAACAATAATTTCGTTACCATTGACCTAGATATATTTATTATGAAAGTGTCTAAAATTTAAACAAAAAAAACATTAATAATTTCTATTACTAACGATATTCCTCCAGCCTATTTCTCAAAATGCTAATAACACCATAAATATTTGTATAAAACTTGGTTTTTTACTGGATATCTATAATATACTTAATAAATATTTAAAGAATATACCTATAATATTTTTTTTATTCTATCTAGAACGATATTTTTCCAACGTGTGCAGAACTCTTCAACCAGAGTCCAAAATTTAGGTTTCCTATTGAAGTATTGGGTGTAAAAACAGAATTATTTATCATTGTTTTTGGCGTTTTATTTTTTTCGGGTTCGTATCGAAGTGAATAACATATGAGTAATAGCCCACAGAAAAACACTTTTCTAAATCAATACACAACCACAAAAACAATTTTCGAAACTTGGAATTTAGCACACGATAACGTGTTGAAAAATAATATGAAATCAAAGTACTTTTAAAATTAAAATATGTAGGAATAATTTTCGTAATCTGAATTGTTCTTACATAAATTTTATTTAAGGCAACCAAATACCAATGTGATTGTGGCCAGCCAGAATATGTTTTTCCACAACTCTCGCTCTCTTACTACATAAACAATATAATATATATACCTAAACTCACTAGAAACTAGGCTAAAAATTGTAAAATAAAATTAAACGAAATAAAATCAGCTCGCGCCACACGGTGTCCTTAAATGAAACTACCATTTCCCAATGCTCTCAAATCAGATATTTAGGCTTAATATTTAACGAGCTTTTAACCTGGTCACCACATTTAAAAGAAAAACGCGAAGCACTTAACTATCGACTAGATATGCTTCGATACACTAAAAAATACCAATAAAAAACAAGCTCCTTCTTTACACTCCCCTTTTGAATCCAATATGAACTTATGGTATTATTTTCTGGTGATCAGCAAAACCTTCTAACACCAAAACAATTCGGGCCTTTCAATCCGTATGCCTCTGAATAATCACAAAGGGCCTTTTGGTATGTTCAAAATGTTTCACTCCATTCCAGCCTCTAAGACGACTTGAAAGAAACTGGCCCAGAACTGGCTCAAGAACTACTAAAATAATATTTTTTTAATCTTATTTGGTGTCTCAACTTTGAGATTCCTTATTCATGTTATTCACTGACAGTTTTGCATTCTTTTTTTCTCTAAATAGCTAACTAATTTACTTATTATAAATAATTTATCAAAAATAAAAAATGTTAATTTAAAAAAAAATCTGTTTAGTTTTAGTTTTTTAGTTAATTAAATTTAGTTGAGTTTTTAATGAGCCGATGGAAATGGAGACGTTTCTATCGCTTGCTTACAAGCATTAAAAATTTAATTTGGCTGATAAAAATAATATTTTTTAGTTATTTTAGAAACCAGCACAGTATATTAATTGGTTGATTAAAGAAGTATTATTTTATTATTCTTAAATAGTAACTGATAGGCCTAAAGGGTTTTTAGAAGATCAAAACAAACTTTATAAAATATAACAGGCGTGGCTAGTATTTAATTTAGAAAAGCTATTTACTGCAGTTTTTTGGAGAAGTTCAATAAAAATAAAAAATTTACATTATGAAAAAACATTTAGATGTGAACAAATACTTAGAGAGAGTCAAATTACTCTAAATACATTGTCAATAAATATATTATTTTATAAATTGCATTTTTTAATTTTAGTAGGTACATAGTTATATAAATATAAAATACATTCAGCTACTTAAATTTTATTTTTTACCCATTTCAACCCCTTAAAATAAAAATAATTCAGAAATCAGAATCCTTTATTATTACACGCCAAGACTATAATACAAACATACCCTGAAAATTTCAAGTCGGTAGCTGTTATAATATTAACATAAAAGTATTCAAAAAGTTTATAACTTTAAAAAAATATTAGCTTCTTTTTGGGTTTTTCTAAAATTTTCTGCGAGAATGATTTGATGGAAATGATTTAATATCATCGTAATTAATAATTGTTTTGGTTATAGATTACTCTATTCTTAATATGGCTAAACTATTTAATATTTCTGACGATATAGTTGATTCTATGTAGGGTTTAAGTGTTAAAAGTCGATAGACCTTAGGATAATTCCAAAAAAGTGAAATATTTAGTAATTTCTTAATGTTGTAAAATTACATAAACAACATTTAAAAAAAAAAAAAAACTACAAAATTGCAATTTGCTTAAGAAATATTGAGTGTTCTACGATAATTTGATCACCCTGTACATCTTAATATGGCGTTACGCCGTTTAGTTGCTACGAAAAATGATTGATACCACCTGTAAGCGTAAAGCGGTTTTTTGTGACCCAAAAATTGTCCACCTAAAATTGCGTTTCAGACCACTGTGCGAACGGTTTTAACTAAAGCTGATTTATACTGTTAATAGACCTCAACCATTTTAAGACAAATGTATTACCTTTTGACTTGTACTCAACATCAAATTCACCGATACATTATATTATGTTTATTTACGAAATT